GAGGAGGGGGAGGGGGGGGGGGGGAAGTAAAGGGGACATGGAGGGCACCAGCAAACTGTCATTTATGATGACTTATTTGATGTGTTGAGAGTCTGTGAATGGGACACCTTAGGCCTGTCAGTTTTATTTTCCAATATGAAAGGGATTGCCGTTTATTAAGGACGTTATCGATACAATAAGATGTGCAATTAGAAGAAGAAACGAATGACGGACAAGGGATAGACTAGTGCGTGAGAGAGTTTCACCTTCATTTGACGTCTCCTTATTCTGCAGAACTGGTTTTCTAGTTCAGTTTTCTTTTGCATCTTATCAATTTGTATGAAGTTACTAGTAACTTACTACTAACCCTCCAGCGGTTGTTGCTACAAACAATGTGCCCGAGGCAGAGTTGGGCATTTTTTTTTTGCCTCACCCGTGACCCAACCCGCCCAATTTTGTTTTTGTGCCACTGGCCGGACCCAAGAATTTTAGTTTCCACCTCAAGACGACCGCGCCCACCCAAAATAGTTTTTGAAATTTCAGCCCCACGTCCGACCCGCCCGCCACCCGAAAACGGTCCTCACCTGGACCCACCCGCACCTGTGAGAACATCATTACCTGCCTGCATCCAAGACCTATTTTTCTGCCGTCCACACCCGCTTGTGCCGATGCAGCCCTGCCCACGACTCCTCCACCGGTGTCGCCACCTCTCTACCTTGCATCGCATGCCAGCGTCACTCCATCATGGCATCGCGCAGCGGTAAGGCCAAGACCTATTTTTCTGCCGTCCGCACCCGCTTGTGCCGATGCAGCCCTGCCCACGACGACTCCACTGGTATCGCCACCTCTCTACCTTGCATCGCATGCCAGCATCACTCCATCATGGCGTCGCGCAGCAGTAAGGCCAGGTAAGTTGGGGGCGGGCTTCCGAATTCGCCAGGTTAGCTAACCAAGGGCGAAGTTCAAAGAGGACGGATCTAGCCGCCTACTGTGGCTACAACCGCTGCCGCCTTTTTTTAGAGAAAAAATGGGCAAGGGGCTGAACTGCTGGAGTACGCTCTTTGCTTTTTTTTCTTGGCCCCGATGTAACAGGCGACCCTGCGTGACTGTACGCAGGCCTGCTTTTCTCGTCTCTCTCAACCTCAAGCCTGTGCACTGCACAAATGGGCCCAAGGCCTTGTTCGTTTTTATTTTTTGATGGGGGGGGTGGGCTGAAAGGCGCCGAGGGCCCAAGAGGGAGGTGGGGGGGGATTTTCTTGGGTGGTCCTGAGTGTATGGGTCGGGTGACCCAGGCTAAAGCTTCACCCACCTGTCACCCACCTGACTGTTGACCCAGAGCAAATATTGACCCACCCATGACCCAGAAATGCCCACTAGCTGCACACGCTCGTCACCCACCCAAGGAGGCATAGGTAGACCCAAGCCCAACCCAATCACCTTGTGGGTCGGGTGGGGCAGGTGGGTGTGGCTGTGGGCCCCCGGTGCCCACCTCAGGCCCGAGGTGTGCAGTCACCTGTTTATCCCCATAGCAGTTTACATCTCCATGATGTCCCTGTTTCTCAGCCACTGAAGGCGACGGATCTTTGTGAGTTTGAATTTTTATGTAATTCTTCGATGGGATTTAAATGCGGTCGTCCAGATTGAAAGAGAACCGAAGTCGATCTTTAGAACAGTCTCTTTTTGCATTGTTTTTGGGTTCAGCAGCCGTTAGCCCCTAACATTATTGTATTCACATCATCAGAATGTGTGGCTGCCTGAGTGGCTGTGGTTGCATAAGATTGTTCGCCAAGAGTGAGGCTGTCCTTGCTGACGCTGATGCCTGTGGGTTCGTGTGGCTGTGCATTTGTGTGTGGCGACCTTCCTCCTTACACTGATGCCTGGGTTGGTGTGGCTGTGCATTTATGTGCGACTCTCGGTGTACCCAGGAATGCATGTCCTGCTCGTGATTTGAATGGGCGGGTGGGAGTTTGTGGGGGCAATGGGAATTTGCTCTGCAGATCGCAGGATCGTTTTATTGGGCTGTGTGCAGGCTCTGTTTGAGGCATCGATGTATGCGTTCATCTTCCTCTGGACGCCAACACTAGAGGTCAGTTCTGCCAACTTGAAAATGAATTCACAGCTAAAATACATGGAGCATTGCTCGAGAATCAAAAGGCTGTGTGCCTTCAGCTTGGTGCACAGACCATGGCGACATTTTCTGTAGCTTAACCAGTGCTGTAAACCCGGTAGGACCGGGGCGCCCTCCCCCAACCGGAACAGGACCGGTCCTACCGGCTGGTTCCCTCCTGGTTGGCTGTAGCACTCTTTTTTTTTTTTTTTTCCTGAAGCCCAGTACCCAGGGTGTTGTAGAGGCCGAGTACTAGACTCACGGTGATCGCTGGCAGCGGCAGCCGGTGGTTGTCCTGACAGTAGAGGCCACCTTCCGTACCCTTCCCCACATTAAGGCTCCCAGCGCACCCCCTATCCCTACTATCCTACCTCAGTGTGACCAGCACTCAGGACCATCACCCTACCAGTCTCGAGGGCAACTTGGACCAGATAGCAGTGACAAGCACCTCCTAACACTAACACCCTCACCCCCCTTTTCAAAGGTTTTGGGTGGGAAGTACCGTCCCTACCCTGCCACTAACACCCCCAGCCCCCTTTTCAAAGTTTTTGGGCGGAGGGTTAACGTTTGCAGAAAGCCAGGTACGTTGTTGTCAATGTCTGCTGAAGCCCATGCTTGCTGAAACACCACCACTAACACCCTCAGCATAAACTCCCCAACCCCTGCCCCCCAACCCCTGACATACCCCACTCCCCAACCCCCCAAACGAAACTTCTCTGTTCAAAGTTTTCTTTGCGGATTTGGGGAGATCTCGGCGAGCGCAGTCCAACCATGTTTAAAAAAAACAAACAAAATAAAAAATTGACCCACTTTTGGGTCCAACCGGAATTCCGGTTGGACCGCCAGGGGTCCAACCGGCCCGATGTCTGGCACAGCCCTGAGCTCAACACTTTTGACATACCTAGCGCAGCAACTGCTGTGTGGGCATTGCAAGCAATCGTCACACACAAAAAAGAACATGAACACAATGGCTGACATACATTGTGCGACAGATCTGGGCACTTCTGTTTGCAAGAAACAATTACTTCCAAACCTGGATACACTCAACGCATTTAAAATGTTACATATGCCAAACGTGTTTTATAAGATAATACTAGTACCGTCTCTCTCTCTCTCTATCTCTCAGACACATGGGCTCGTACTAGCGAGCTATTCTTCTTTTGTAATTGGATACATTGTTGGTTGGTTGTTTTGTTTGTTACAAATGGCCTAATTCTTTGCCCCATACAGACACAAGGGCTCAAACTAGCGAGCTATTCTTCTTTTGCGGTTGGATATGTCGTTGGTTGTGTTGTTTGTTACACATGGCCCAATTCTTTGCCCTGCTTTAGAGCATGGTCTGTGTCTTGATGAAGGAATGTCTGTGGGTGGCCACACAATTTTTCGGGGTGTGAATGTATTTTTGGAGTTTTAGCCACGGTATCTTAGCAAGGAGGCTCAGAGAGTGTTTGCTGTGGGTTTAATTCCCACGGGCTGCTCTTTTGGAGCACACGGAAGAAACAGGGGCTTCTAGGGTGTCTTGAGCAGTAGCATTAGGGTGTCTTAAGAAGAAGAAGAAGAAGAAGAAGAAGAAGAAGAAGAAGAAGAAGAAGAAGGTAAGAAGGAAAGAACGAAGAGAAAGAAGAAGAAGAAGAAGATAATTGGAAGAAGAAGAAGAAGAAGAAGAAGAAGAAGAAGAAGAAGAAGAAGAAGAAGAAAATAATAAAAAAAAGAAAATTGTCGTCGATTACTTATCTGCGCTGTGGAACAGCGACGGCGACGACGAGGATGACGTGGCGCAACGACGAGGACGACGAGCACGGCGACGACGATGACGATGACGTGGCGCGACGACGACGATGATGACGTGGCACGGCGACGACGTTCTAGACGATGATGATGTGGCACGGCGACGGCGTTCTCGACGATGATGATGTGGCACGGCGACGACGATGACGATGATGATGATGACGTGACATGGCGACGAAGCAGGGTGGGTCGGGCGGGTTCGAACCGCTCCGATACCAGTGTAACGAGCGCGAGGCTGAGGGAGACAGGGAGAGCCGAGGGAGAGGGGGGTAGAGAGGGAGAGAGTGAGAGCACACACACACACTCACTCACGCGACACGACTGAGGGTCGGACGCAGACACAGTGGCAAGGACACAAAGTCGAAGTCTTGGATTCCGAATGCCGAAAACAGGAGCAAGTCACACCACTAATGGTTAATAAATGTTTCAGGACATTGTTTGTGGTGATGTGGCGAAAAACCGCGAATTTTGGGCCTTCCATTAACCATCTCTCGGTACCAGGGGCATCTCTGCAAAAGCCCCGAGGGCAGAACTGAAAAATGCAGTATTTGAAAGTGGCGCCCGAATTGTTGTCCCAAATCCGACAGTACCAAAGGAGGGGTTTGGAAAAAAGGGTGCCAGGGAAAACGGGATGTACCAAAAACAGCAACAAAATAGACCCAGGGGTCGAGCCCTGGCGGAGTCCGTAACAGGCAGGCTAAATCGGACTCTCATTGTCCACTTATAACAGCCTTACAAGATACAGCCTCGGACAGGCTAACTTAGGCAGGGGTGAGGGGTGGTGCATCCTTCCCGCCGGAAGCAATCAATGTCGTCCACTCGGGCCTCTCAGCTGTTATAGGAAGGCGTGTGCGTGTTCTCACTTGCCGGGGCAATAGGAACCGGACTGACACTCTCCAGAATGGAAAGGAGCCAGAACCTGGGAGGTTCTGCTTTAGTTGGGGGAAAAAAAAAAAAAAACTCATTGAGAAAAAAGTAAAAAACACATATTGAAAAAAATTCACAAAACATTTCCATACACCATTTTGCTTCATTGTAGTGGTTTGACTAGCCGAGAATGACAACAGTTCAACAATTTTTTATATGTCTCACTCATGGTCAAACTTCTTTTTTTTTTTCCCTTCCTAAAAAACGTCCTTTGGCCCTTGATGATAGTGCAGGATCTGCCTATATTTTGTACTTGGCTGACTCTTGTAAGCCTCCAGGGACAAAGTGCAGCAATTCGGACATCTCCGCCGAATTGCTGGGCATGAAGTAGTGGGCAAAACTGCTTCAAAAATGTATCTTATTTGGAATCTCAAAAGAATATAGTCTTATTATACGGTCAATATCAGTATACTTTGGTCCGTGTCAATAGCGGGTAGGCCCGGTAGGTCTGTTGGAAGTAGGCCGGTAGAGTAGCGCTCCAGTAGGCCCAGATTGTTATCTGTGGCTGGTTGCCAGTGTGTCAGTCCAAAACGAAGCTAAATCCCAGGAGATCCGTGAACATTCTGGAAGTGTTAAAAACAGACCGTGACCAGCAGGTGAGGGTAGCGGTCCGGAAAGGTCCAAAATGGGGAACTGTAGCGAGTACATAAGGCCGACATCAACAGAACGTCAGCATAATATCTTTCATGCCTAACCCGGAATTCCTGTTGTGGTCTTGTGCGGGAAGCATGAGTGAGGCTGAGAGACAGAGTAGAGTAGTCGACGGTGCCCGGCACCATAACTGATAGGAAGAGAGAGTGAGGTTGAGGGACGACATTCAGACAGTGTGAGTGAGTAAACGAGAGAGAGAGAGAGAGAGAGAGAGAGAGAGAGAGAGAGAGAGAGAGAGAGAGAGAGAGAGAGAGAGAGAGAGAGAGAGAGAGAGAGAGA